AGTCTCATCCTTGCCTTGCAGAAAAGCTCTGGATTGCTCAGGCTGGGTCAGAAACCCCATGGAAATAGTGACATTTACCACTGGTTATCATGTTATTTAGAATATGAATGAGGTAGAGCTTTTCCAACAGGATCCTTAATAATAGTTTCCCAAAAGGGAACAATTTAAAATGTCTCAATTACCTACAAATAAATTTACCAAAGAATGTGCAAAACTTCTACAGGAAAAATTATAAAACCTTATTGAGGGACATAAAAATGAGAAAATGGAGGAACATACAGACTGCTCACGTGTTGAAAAACTCAGTAGTGTAAATCAGTCAGTATTACTCTATAGAATCAATGTAATCTCAACAGGCTTTATAATGGAACTGGACTAACTGACTGGAGTTGGCTTGAAAATATATATGACAGTGCAAAAGCATCAATAATAGCCAAGACTCTCTTGGAGGAAAGGACGAAGATAGGTGGATTGCCCTACTTGATACCACAATAGATTATAGAGTTCTAGTAAACAGGCTAGTGTGGCATTGACTCAGGGACACTCATAGAGCAGGGAGAAAAATGGAGAGGTCAGGATCAGACTGCATAGATGGACCTGATTTTTGAGAAGCAGCAGTTCTGAACAGTGAAGACAATGTTTTCAACAGAAAGTCCTAAGGGCTATGGCTATATTTTTGTAGGATTTTATATGCGATTGTGAAACCATTTGATGTTATCTGGTGAAATTAGAGTTTAAAACCGACAGGGGAAAACTTTGCCCAAGGATCTATCAAAAATGTTCCAAATGGTGGGCCACAGTGGCTCATGCCTATAATCCCAAGCTGAAACAGAAAGGTCACTTGAGCTCAGGAGTTCAAAACCAGCCTGGGCAATATAGTGAGCCCCCCTCGTCTCTACAAAAAAATTTAAAAAATTGGCTGAGCATGGTGACACGCACCTGTAATCCCAGCTACTTGAAAGACTGAGGTAGGAGGATCGTTTGAGCCCAGTAGGTAAAGGCTGCAGTGAGCCATGATCGCACCACCGAACTCCAGCCTGGGCGACAGAGACTCTGTCTCAAAAAAGAAAGAAGCAGCAGACAGCATTGAAGGAAAGAAACTGTGCTAAGATTCCATTTATGGGAAGCTCAAAAATAGGAAAATTAAATAATTCATGATTAAAAGCGCATACATAAGTGGGGAAACAATAAAGTCAACCAGGGCATCATGGGAGCAGGAGCTCTCTGACCTCAGAGAGGAGCAGGGAGGGACACACAGATGCTTTCTCTGGTCCTGGCACTTTTCCCTTTCATAACCTGCATCACAGTTGCAGAGGCTTTAACTTGATTCTTACTCTTCAAGAACGCGTGGATATGTCTCTTAAACTATCTGCATGTATGATCCATTTTACATAAAAATTATTTTTAAAGTAAGTACTAAGGAAAGACAATGCAATGCATACGACAGTATTCACTACATGCCAAACCCAGACTAATTGCTGGGCAGGACCTCAGTGAATCACAGCAGCCCATGATCATCCCATTTGATGGTGAGGCCACTTGGGCTAGAGACATAGTCCCTTGCCCAGAACCACACACGAGGAGTGGCCCAAGCAGGACTGTCATCACCCAAGTATGTCCAATTCTAAAGCCCACACTATCCACCTCACTCTGCAGCCCATCATGTCAGTGATGACAGTGGGCCAGTCCCTTCACAGAACTGGTTATGCGAAGGTCTCCTTGGTGTTGGGCCATGGCACAGACCCGACCCGTCCCACCCACTAACACACCAGGAGACCACACCCAAGCTGACCTCAGGGAGTGCAGTGCATTCTCAAAACACTATGTGAAGCTGGTGTCTTTGACCAAGCAGGGAACTTGATCAAACACCCAAGTTGAGAGCAGGTGATGTGGCCACCTGTTAATTGTGCTGATGTGCTCCTGAACAACAAGCAAGAGTGGGCACCTTGAATCCTGTTGGGAGCTTCAGGTTTGCCAAATGAAACTTACTTCTCCCACTTTTTTTGAATATTCATTAAATCTCTCTCTCTTTTTTTTTTGAGACAGAGTTTTGCTCTGTTGCCCAGACTGGGGAGCAATGACAGGATTTCGGTTCAGTGCAAACTCCGCCACCCAGGTTCAAGCGATTCTCCTGCCTCAGCTTCCCGAGTAGTTGGGATCACAGGAACCCACAGCCGCCACCACACCTGGCTAATTTTATTTTTAGTAGAGATGGGGTTTCTCTATTTTGGCCAGGCTGGTCACCAACTCCGGACCTCAGGTGACCCGCCCGCCTAGGTCTCCCAAAGTGCTGAGATTACAGGTGTGAGCCACCTGGCCCTCAGATTTATTAACTTTTTCTATTCACTCAGTACTTACTAGTATTTACCAAGTGCCAGCTTTTGTGATAGGCTGATTCCAATGAGGATGCTCAGATTTGCCCTCGTATTAGGAATGTACAAGAAAAAATGTGTTTATTGCAGTCCTACAAAAGGAGTCCCTATGCTACTTAGGAAAGTAGAGAAGAGAGGAGAAAGTAGAGGAAGAGGAGTTCTATGTGAGATTCAGTTTCTATTAAGCATAGAAGAAAACAAACTGCCCAAAATTGTATGAAGAGCTTGAAGTTGTGAACAAGTAAAACCTTAAGGCATGTAATATTTAGAGCAAGCTGCATTTCTAAGATCAGGCTGAACAAGGGAATTGAATAACTTAATGAGGGAAAACCAATTCCTGTGTAGAAGGAAACAGAGAAGTGCCAGGGAAAGAAGGGAGGCGGCTCACGGGGCCAAAGCAAAAGCAGTGCCTAGGAGTGAAGGAGGGAAAGGCTTCTCCCTCACCTTAAAAATAGCCTCATGCTAGGCAGGGGCCCACAGCAGTCAGGAAGACTCAATTCTGCAAACACCACTGGGGTAAGTTGCCAGTAGCAGGCTGCTGAACACCCAGAGGGCACAGATTGTCACCTTGATTCAGCAGCGCTTATGAGCTGCCCTACATTGGGCAGGCACCACCAGGCAAGAGAAAACTCAGTTTGAACTGGCTAGTTTAAGATGGCTATTCCAGATGGTGAGAGCTTGGGGGCACTGACTCTGTGGCCATGGGCAGCTGCTCGGTCCCATGAGAGCATGGTGATCCCAGACTTGAGCCAGGATCCACTAGCAGTTGGTGATGTGCGGCAGGGCCAGGGGAGAGGATCCTATTTTCAGACTACCTCCTTCCTAGCCTTAGAATCTAGAAAAAAAAGACTTTCTGGAACTGCTGAGAATGCTACCAAGGCCTCCCAATCCGAGGTGCTCGGCACTAGGACACACGTCTATGGAGAGGCTGGGTTTGTGAGGGATCCCACTAGGATGGGGTCTTCCTGGAAGTTGCTGGATAGTGACATGTCTGACGTAACAGATGTTTTCCACGTCTTCAAGTGCCAGGAAATACCAAGGTTCTCTGTTCACTGAAGACCACCCAGAACCTGCTGACGAATGAGCTCAGCGCACCTTACTCCAGGCTCACACCACCTCCCAAGGCCTCTCCAGCTCCCGTTGGCCAGTAGCCTTCTGTTTAACTGTCCCTGCTTCCCACCATCCTGATGCCAGCAATCTCTGCCAGTGTCGCTAACCACTTGCAACTCCAGGAACCATAAATCTCACTGAACACCATTCCACTTGGAGACATTATGGGGCAGATTTTCCCAACCTTGCTTACAGCCGTAAGCAGGCTTACTATGAAGAAAATGCTTGAGACTGCAGTGTCCCCACTGCCTCAGCACCACTGGAAGGAGCCCTGGCAATGTGGTCACATATACATCTATTTTGTAAATTTTCAAAAAGAACCTATGAATCCGTGTAAATCAGTTCAGGCATCTCAAAATCTGCATTCAATCCAATTTATGGAAATGTCTCTATTAATCTTTTTGAGACAGGGCCTCACTTCCTCACCCAAGCTGGAGTACACAGGGGCTCAATCACAGCTCACTGCAGCTTCCAACTCCTGGGCTCAGGTGGATTCTCCCACCTCAGCCTCCTGTGTAGCTGAGGTACCGTAAGAGTATGCCATCATGCCCTGCCAATTTTCTGTATCTTTCGAAGAGATGGAGTTTTACCATGATGCCCAGGCTGGTGCTGCACTCCTGAGCTCAATCGTTTTGCCTCTGCCTCCCAAAGTGCTGGGATTATGGGTGAGCCAACATGACAGCCAAGAGTATTTTTCAATAGGCAATGAGAATCATTAAATCAGTTTAGGATGAAGTCAGCAGCATTAACATATAAAAAACAAATGTGGCCAGGCACAGCGGCTCAGGCCTGTAATCCCAGCATTTTGAGGCGGGTCACATAAGGCCAGGAGTTCGAGACCAGCCTGGCAAAACTGTCTCTACTACAAATGCAAAAATTAGCCAGGTGTGGCGGTGCACACCTGAAATGCCAGCTACGCGGGAGGCTGAGGCACAAGAATTGCCTGAACCCAGGAGGCAGAGGTTGCAGTGAACTGAGATCACACCACTGTACTCTAGCCCGGACAACAGGGAAAAACTCTCTCCCCTGCCCCACCCCCAGCAAAGACAAATACGGAGAGCATTTATTTTTTTATACATACATACAACCCTCTCCTCTCCCAGAACCTGTAGGCAAGCTCACAAGAGGGGCAATCAATGTCTCTCGATGTGGGGAAGGGCCATCGCCTGTCCAGGGCTTCCAGGAATAGTTTACCTAAGTGACAGGAACATTCTCAAAAATAAAAACCTAAGCTCTATAGAACTTACCTACACAAATGGTAATTAAAGTCAAGATTATCAGGGCCTCAGAAAAATATTCCTGAGGTTACCACCTAAGTATGTGCAACCACTTATATCTATTTTCAGGGAACAGATGTTCTCTACACAGAAAGCAAGCTCAAGTGAAAAGCAACGTACATTATCTACAGTGGGCTTTAGAAGTACAATTCATTTCGAGACATGTATTTATTATTATACTTTGGTATGCAATCTCAGGTATTCTGAGCTGGAGTAAAAAACCAAACTAAATGAACACAACTTTTAGAAACTGATGTTTATTTTCTATCAACCATTTTTCCATGTTGCTTAAGAGCCCGTGCAAGAACAGCTTAAGACCATTCAGTGGTTGCTCCTACCCATTCAGTGGCCTGAGCAGTGGGAGCTGCAGACCAGTCTTCCGTGGCAGGCTGAGCACTCCAGTCTTCTGTTAAGAAAATACCAAAAAAAGCCATCAGCTCTGTCCTCAAAGCAGTATTTTTCCTTACCCCACTCCCTACAGCAGTCTATCAGATGCTGTAGCACACTAGGACAAAAATCTCTTAAAGCTACTATAAAAGCCACAGAGATCATTAGAATAAAACTGAGAAGTTGCAAAATATCAGCATGATGCTCTTCTAACCTGATACATACCAGTAGGGAACTGCTGAATAGGCACAGAGGGCACCTGCACACCTTCAGACCAGTCTGCAACCTCAGGCTGAGTAGCAGTGAACTCAGGAGCTGGAGCAGTCCATTCACCCTGAAATTCCTCCTTGGTCACTGCCTTTTCAGCAGCAGCCTGCTCTTCTTTTTCAATCTGGTTATTTAAAAAAAAAGGGGGGGAAGACTTACAGTGACTGACAAATTTTGCTTCCTAGAAGCACAGTCCAAGTTGTCCATTTTGCTTATGTAACCACAAGCCTTTGGAGAAGCTTACCTCTTCAGGATCTCTGTAGAAGTAGAGATCAGGCATGACCTCCCACGGGTGTTCACGGGAAATGGTGCCACGCATGCGCAGAACTTCCCGAGCCAGCATCCACCACATCAAACCCACTGAGTGAGCTCCCTGCCAAAAGCGGCAATTATTAAAAAGTGGCACTTGGTCAAGCCCAAACAGCAAGCATCTTCCTGGCTCCCACATCATCTAGGCACCAAAAGTACAGACATCTTAGTTTAAAAGCAATTGTAACAGGGAACATCATAATCAGGGATTTTCAACCAACCTTGTCTGCACATTGGAATCACAGGGATTGAAACAAACAAACAAACAAAAAAAAACCCACACACACAGTTTTCAGGACTTCACCACACACTACTATATGAGATCTCTGGGAGAAATGCCTGGACACTAGCATTAAAACAAAACAAAAAAAATCTCTGGGCAATTCTTATGCACAACTAGGGTTACAAATCAACCAATTTGAACCACACAACCCACCTTTTTAGAATCTTACAGTAGGACCCATCAAGTTGGTGTAAAAACAGAAAGGCCAAATGCCTGAGGACTGAGCAAGAAACATGGACAAAGGCAGAAGAAAATACACTATTTTCCAAATGTTTTCATCTCTCCACAAAGCTGTCATGCAGTAATGTTATACTTGTAGCAAGAATTACTATCAAACTCCACTCATTGGGCCAAAGACCCTTGTGGTGTTAGCGAAAAACTTGCCCCTCATGTAGCACACTACCTACACTTGCGAGTTCATCGGCCAGTCAGTAGCCTCAACTCCAAGCTCTAACAATGTGCACGGGAATGTTTTTTCTAGAGCATGCATTCGTCAATTCTAGATCATAAAATCATTACCTTGTTGTTGCATGGGATGGCAATGTCCACATAGCGCAGAGGAGAATCTGTGTTACACAGAGCAATGGTAGGTAGGTTAACATAAGATGCCTCTGTGAGAGGCTGGTGGTCAGCCCTGGGGTCAGTAACCACAAGAAGCCGTGGCTCCCGGAAGGCTGCCTGGATCTGGTTAGTGAAGGTTCCAGGAGTGAAGCGGCCAGCAATTGGAGTGGCTCCAGTGGCAGCAGCAAACTTCAGCACGGCCCTCTTTAAAGAATTTAAAAGTTAATGGTACTCCAAAGATATTTCATAGCAACTCCCCATATGCTGACACCAGTTCTGTAATCATATGGAAAAGCCTATCTAGCCGAAACCCTCAAATACCTCTTCCTCAAAAATGAAAGCAAAAAGCATTAATTCCTCTAAGTTCTCTAGGTTAACTGACTTACAATGCCCTCACCTCTAGGCCTCTGCTTGGAATGCACTTCCCACCCCCACTTCTCTCAGGTGTCTGGTTCACTGGCTTCCTTATGTCTGGAGGCTCCAGAACCACACTTGCCAGGCTCTAAGAACCAAGTAGGTGATTTTTTGAGTAAACTGAGGACATTCACATGCCTCCAAGTTCCTCACATGGCTGTGAGAACACATCTAACACAGAACAATCTTGGCACCAGCAGGAAGCACTTCTGGGCACTGGCCAACTTAATCACTACTACTCCATATACAGCAGGCACATACCCAGCTTTCCTTAACCTCTCTTACTTCTCCAGAGATTTCCCGCATACATTCAAAGAGATTTGTTTTTTTACTATATCCCAAGCACCCAGCAACACTACCTGGCCCAATCTAGATGCTCAGTATATTTTTCTCAAGCAAGCAAGAACTGTCACTCAGTTCATTCTACAGCAATAACTAAAACTGCCTTTTTTCTACTGTGTACCAAACTATGCGGTCCCAGTAACAAGTCAGTTTCAGGAATAACCCTCTGCAAAAACACGCGTCGGAACCTGTCCTGTCAACATTGAAATAAAGTCCTCACTACATGATTTTCAAATCTGTCAAAATAGTTGAGTTGAATAAAATCCTGTTAGAATTCTTAGAATTCAAGAAATCTACTAGTTTTCTCAACAGAAAAAATGTTAAAATAGAGCTGTAGCAAAAAAAAAAAAATTCAAGTTGTACTAACTAGTCATTTCTTAAAAATACAAATTAAGGTATTTTTCATTCAAGTTGGCAAAGACGGCCTCACTCTTGTCACTCAGGTTGGAATGCAGTAGACAGTCTTGGCTCCCTGTTGCCTCAACCTCCTGGGTTCAAGCAATCTTCCCACCTCAGCCTCAGCTGAGACTACAGGCATGCAACACCACACCCAGCTGGTTTTTATTTTTGTTAGAGACGCAGTCTTGCCACATTGCTCACCCTGGTCTTGAACTTCTGGGCTCAAGCAAGCCACCAGTCTCGGCCTCACAAAGCACCCATATTACAAAAGCATGAGCCACCCACGACTAGCCTTTTTTTTTTTTTTTTTTTTTTAAGAGACAGGATCTCACTCTGTGCCCCAGGCTTGGAGTGCAGTGACAAAATCATAACTTACTGCACGCAGCCCCCAACTCCTGGACTTGAGGGATCTCCCGCCTCAGACTCCCAATTAACGGGAACTATAAGTGAATACCACCATGACTGGCTAAGATTCCTAAAAATTTTTTGCTTATGAGACTTGGATAAGACAAAGACTACTGTCGTAATCTAATAAAATCTTACTGAAAAATGCTGCAGTTGACACCAAATTTCTGTCCCAGTATTTCGTCGTCTTAAGGTAAAAACTCTGACTATGGGAAAAAGTGGTAAGCCACTTTAATAGGATAATTTCTAGATATTTAGTGACACAAGTCTACACAGAATGAAATTATAAAGTTCAACATACTGCCAGATGCCCAGCATGTATGTTGAAAAGGTCTTACAGGGTAGGCACAGTGGCTCACGCCTGTAATCCCAACACTTTGGGAGGCTGAGGTGGGAGGATCACTTGAGGTCAGGAGTTCAAGACCAGCCTGGCCAAATGGTGAAACCATGTCTCTACTAAAAATACAAACACCAGTTGCGCATGGTGGCACATGCCTGTAATCCCAGCTACTCGGGAGGCTGAGGCAGGAGAATCCCTTTAACTCAGGAGGCAAAGGCTGCAATGAGCCGAGATCACACCACTGCACTCCAGGCTGGGCAAGGGGCAACAGAGCAAGAGACTGTCTTAAAAACAAAAAACAAAAAAACAAAAAAAAGAGGAAAAACCATAACGGCGACTTCTATAGCTCAGTCCAACTTAAGATCTCTGAACAGTGGAATCTGAGTTATTTCTATTTTCTTATACCTTTCTGTATGTCTCACAATGTCTGTAAGCTTCATTTCTATAATATAAAATCTAATCACTGTCCCACAAACCTGGCCAGTATTCCTGGAGGATATAACACTGACATCAGCAGGGTTTTCAATGGCAACAATGGCACGAGCCGCCAGCAGAAGCTTCTCCCAGGTCCTCTTCAGATTTATGATGTAGATGCCTAAGTGAGGGCAGAAGGATTTGTAAGACTTGACCTGGCTGTGCAATCACTCTTTGCAAGTTCAGTGTATGTGGCAGCGAGTACTACCAAACTCCAGTCATAGAGGCAAGCTCTACTGGTGTTAGCGAAAATCCTGCCATTAATGTAGCACACTTCCGACACTCAGAAGTTCATGAGCCAAGACTGGCCTCCACCCTGAGCTTTAATAGTGTGCAGCCGAGATTCAGTTGGCTAAATCCATCTCTCCTTTCTCCTTCCCTGTACTTCCTGTCCATCAGTGGTTCTTAAGAATCCACTTCCTGACTTTCTGCCATTCTTTCCCTTTTATCATCTTCACTGATGCAAGATTCATCCTAAATCTCCTTTACAGCATGTCACTCCCAAGTCCTTGGTAGCTTTATCTCTAAAATAAGTGCCTTAGCCAACTTAATGCCTTCCCTCCTCTGGTTCTTCCAAGCTATATTGTTTATCCCCACCTCTTACCCCACTTTCCATTCAAAATTCAGTTCAATAGCCTGTATAATTACCTATGAAGTTGAAGGCACTATGGGAGCTATTAGAAACTCAGCTCATGAACTTTCTCAAGCTCACCACCCAACCCAAGTCCCATAACGCGGCCAACTGATGTATTCTTCCCCTGGAGCAGGAATCTTTTCTCCCAATAACAACCAGAACATTTAAAGTCTGTTTTCAACCTAGGAGTCTGGTTTCATTTGAGGAAGAGATGATACCAAGAAATTACTCAGAACTAACCACGAGAATAAGCAAGCTCAAAATCTGTACTTACAGCTGGAGTAACAAAAAAATAAACAATGACTAACCATCACTTTTCCTTTTATAGATGTACTGCTCCATCTGGAAGTCAAGATTGGTGCCACCTAAGTGGGTTCCTGCTGCAAGGAACTTAAGGACATCCTCCTCCTTCATTTGCAGGACATCAAGGGCTCCGGACATTGTGAAAGTTTCCCTTTAAGTTACGACGGGAATCTGAAATGAGAGCAATCTATTTCTTTTCATTCCAGTGAGTTAAGTGGGGTACACCCTTAAAAGCAACCAAAGACTCCATCTCCTACAGTGGCAGGCATTGAGCTTACAGTGCAATGAAGGAGCAAAGTTAACCAATATATGTCGTGTATTACGGAATAGCGCACATCTTACTTGAGGAAATGTGGACGGCAGAATAAGCGAATAATAAAACTAAACTAAATTAGCGAATGGAAATTCGACACTTCTCAAGATAGGAATTAAGGAAACGTTCTGGATGCGCCAAGTTAACAACTAGATATATAAGAGCAGCCATATTTGGAACATGGAAACTAAAAGCAAAAAAATGTATGAATTGGTTTCAGATATTTTCAAGCAGACAGCAGGCGGGTGCTTTGGAATTACTTCGCTGTGCGGTCACCACCTGTCTCAAAACCCAAGAACCTTAACTCCTGACCCACACGGCGCAAATGGGAGAACCCAACCAGCCCAAGTCGACGGTGTCAATCAGGGCCTGGGTCTCGACTCACCGCCGTGTGGGGGTCCGACGGGAGAGCAACACGGAATGTCGGCCCGCTTTCTGAACCCCCGCCCACCAGCGGCCTGGCCCGAACCCCAGCTCCGAGCCTCCGCTGGAGGGCGACCTCCACCCGCTCCCGGGGCACTGTGGGCACCCGCGGGCCCGAGACTGGCCACGTGCAGGCCCCAGGCCTAAGGTGGGGCGCGCCGGGCGGGAGGCAGACCCGGTCTGACCGGCTTTCATCGCTAGTTTTCGCAGCCTTCATTTGAGCAGGAAAAGCTCATCTTTCTAGCCTTGGGAGGCGCCGGGGACACCACAAGGGACTCACCCAGAACAATGCCGTATGGACCCCTCCGTAGGTAGCGCGGAAAGGACGCGCGCAGGAAATGACGTTCTTATATACTCCGTTGTCAGCCAATGGCAAAGAACGTCGAGCGGAAGGAGGGCGGAGCCGGAGAAGGGCGCGGCCGGGACGGAGCTCCTCCTTCAGGAAGGCGGGCTTGCGGCGCAGGCGCGGACTTCTGGGCTGTAGCCGGTAGCCGCGGCCTGGTGGGATCTGGGGAGCTCGTGATTTTGGGGTTTCTAGTGCCACGGCGGCGCCCGGTGCAGAATTCCTGTCCAGAGCGCGGAACTGAAGCTAGCCGGCCAGGCGGGGCGTTCTTACCAGCTCCTTGTACCTGCGACTTTGAGCGGCTTTCTCGCCTAAGCTGCAGTTTCCTTACCTGAAACGTGAAACGTAGGAAGGTTTGTTCGACACAACAAACTGTTAAGTCAACAAAAACGTGAAGATTTATTTGATTTTCCTGGAGAACAGTTTAACAGGAAGTAATTCAGATTTAAATGTTCACTTAGGGGAAGTTTCCCTGAAAAAGTTAAAAAGGACAAGATTGAACAGATGGTATGGATTATATCTATCTGTCACCTACCTATCATTTTTTTTTTTTTGGTCGAAGAAACATTTTTGCAATATCTATCAGTAGGAGATAAGTTTGCTGGGCGCGGTGGCTTGTGCCTGTAATCCCAGCACTTTGGGAGGCCGAAGTGGATTGCCTGAGCTCAGAAGTTCAACACTAGCCTGGGAAACATGGGGAGACCCCGTCTCCACAAGAAGTACAAAAATTAACCAAGCATGGTGGTGCGTGCCTGTAGTCCCAGCTACTCAGGAGGCTGAGGCGGGAGCATAGCTTGAGCCCAGAGGTCAAGGCTGCAGTGCATATGATTGCAGCGCTGCACTCCAGCCTGGGCAACAGAGTGAAATCCTGTCTCCAAAAAACAAACAAAAAATAGGAGTTAATTGAAGGGGCGCGTAATCCCAGCACTTTGGGAGGCTGATCTCTTGAGGCCAGGAGTTCAGGAGACCAGCCTGGCCAACATGGCGAAACCCGGTATCTACTAAAAATTCAAAACTTAGCCGGGCATGGTGGTGCATGCTTGTAATCCCAGCTACCGGGGGGGGGGGGGGGGGGCGCTGAGGCGGGAGAATTGCTTGAACCCAGGAGGCAGAGGTTGCGGTGAGCAGAGATTGCGCCATTCGCACTCCAGCCTGGGCGACAGAGCAAGATTCCGTCAAAAATAAATAAATAAATAAAATAAAATCGCCGGGCACGGTGGCTCAAGCCTGTAATCCCAGCACTTGGGGAGGCCGAGGCGGGCGGATCACGAGGTCAGAAGATCGAGACCATCCTGGCTAACACGGTGAAACCCCGTCTCAACTAAAAATACAAAACTTAGTCGGGTGTGGTGGCGGCGCCCGTAGTCCCAGCTACTCGGGAGGCTGAGGCCGGAGAATGGCGTAAACGCGGGAGGCGGAGCTTGCAATGAGCCGAGATTGCGCCACTGCACTCCAGCCTGGGCGACAGAGCATGACTCCGTCTCAAAAAAAAAAAAAAAAAAAAAAAAAAAATGCAGATTCCTCTCTGTGGCCTGCTGAGTCAATCTGATTTCTGAGCCCACCCCAAAATGAACTCGTAGACCCTTATGGCCACTCTTCCATAGGACAGCACATCCAGGTTCTCCTGCAAGTGGCTCTGCAGCTCCACTGAGGCCAGTATGATTTTCTGAGGAGCTTGGAAACCCTTGGACCCTAGCACCGGTCACCCCCAGGCTGCTCTGCTTCATCACCCACCAGGGCTGAAGCACCTGGGGCTTGAGGGACAAATTCAGAGAAGTCACAGCCCCTTGCTGCAAATGCCTCCCACTTCTACTCTTTGTTTTGGAAAGAGGATACATTCAGTTTGTTGGCACAAACTCAGGCCACAGCCCTCAGAGCAAGGCCCCTGAGTCCCAGAACAATGCCCTGCCCCCTGCACCCAAATATACTCCTGCTTAACCCTTCAAGTGTGGATTGGGATTGTTGAGTAGTGAATGCAGCTCTGCAGGGTTCCTCCAGGGGTCTCAGCCTTGGCATTAGAATCACCTGGGGAGCTTTTAAAGTCTTGTATCTAGGCTGAACATATCAGAACTTCTGAGTGAGACCCAAGCATCAGTAGCTTTTAAAGCTCTTGTAGGGGCTTCCTCACCACCCTCTGAACGTTCACTGCTAAAATGAACTGACAATAGGCAAATTAACAGGAGAAGAAACATACGTTTGTTGGTTTTTTTTTTTTTTTTTTTTTTTTTGAGACGGAGTTTCACTCTTGTTGCCCAGTCTGGAGTGCAATGGCTCAATCTCGGCTCACCAAAACCTCTGCCTCTCGGGTTCAAGTGATTCTCCTGCCTCAGCCTCCCGAGTAGCTGGGATTATAGGCATGTGCCACCATACCTGGCTAATTTCGTATTTTTAGTAGAGATGGGGTTTCTCCATGTTGGTCAGGCTGGTCTTGAACTCCAGACCTCAGGTTATCTGCCCATCTCAGCCTCCCAAAGTGCTGGGATTACAGGCATGAGCCACCGTGCCAGGCCAAATATACACATTTATTAATGTGCTTATGCACAGGAGCCATACAAAATATAAGACTCAAGGGCCAGATGGCTGAAGCTTAAATAGCATCTACTTCACAGGGAAGGAAGATGGGATGGTAAACAATTTAGAGGGCTAGTAAGTGATTTTGGGAAGGATAGGAATGAGTTCAAAGAACAGAAAATTTGCCTGAGACAGAGTTCCTCTGAGCTCTGGGGGAAACAGCAGCAAATTACGGTGGGGTAAGGGGAGGAACTTCACTGTGACCAAAGATTGCCTTATTAGGCAGATAATGTTTCCTGGAAAATCTCTCAGAGCTGCGCTCAGAAAAATAGATGAAGAGTCTGTGTGGGCATGGTGATGACTTTTAGTCTTTTCTCTTCCCAGTGGTTAATATTTCCTGGTTACCGGATGAGATTCCTAGAGAGGAAGTTTTAAGACTACTGTATTTATTCTGGAGGAACTTACCTTCTTCAGATAAGGGAACTTTAGACAAAGCCCCTCCCTATGCTTTGGGAAAAGAGGGGATTGAGAGATGGGGTTGGGGAAGGTCAGAAAGAAACCTTGGTTCTGACGCTATTTCAGAAGCCTTTGTTTTCTTTCATTCAAAGCACTCAGCATGCCAAAGTGCCTTATTCAGTCAGGGTATCATTTTCTGAGCCCCAACATTTTCCAGATGATTCCAGTGTGCAGCCATATTGAGTTTAAAAACCACGATCCTAGACTCTAGAGTATTTCTTCTTTATTGTATTTATTTTTTTTGAGACAGAGTCTCATTCTGTCACCCAGGCTGGAGTGCGGTGTTGTGATCTCGGCTCACTGCAACCTCCGTCTCCCAGGCTCAAGCAATTCTCCAGCTTCAGCCTCCTGAGTAGCTGGGACTACAGGCCCGCACCACCACATCTGGCCAATTTTTGTATTTTTGGTAGAGACAGAGTTTCGCTTTGTTGGCCAGGCTGGTCTTGAACTCCTAGCCTCAAGTGATCAGCCCGCCTTGGCCTCCCAAAGTGCTAGGATTAGAGGCATGAGCCACTGCGCCCGGCCTAGGGTATTTCTTGACTACCTAAGCTAATGGCTCCCGGGAGCAGAGAAGGAGAACTTAGCTAGTTCTATCTAGAGGCTGTTGCACTGAGGCAGCTTTTTTTGGAGGGAGTGGTGACAAAAGCTGAAATTTAAGACACAGTGGATTGTTAATTTTTTTTTTTTTTTTTTTGAGACAGAGTTGCTATCTCCCAGGCTGGAGTGCAGTGGCGCAATTGCGATTCACTGCAGCCTCTAACTTCCAGATTCAAGCAATTCTTGTGCCTCAGCTACCCAAATACCTGGGACTACAGGTGCACACCACTATATCTGGCTAAGTTTTTGTAATTTTAGTAAAGACAGGGCTTTGCCATGTTGGCCAGGCTGGTCTTGAACTCCTGACCTCAAGTATCTCACCCGCCTTGGCCTCCCCAAGTGCTGGGATTATAGGTGTGAGCCACCATGCCCTGCTGGTTGTTAAATTTATTTATTTATTTTTTGAAGACGGTCTCCGTCTGGAGTGCAATGGCGCCATCTCAGCTCACTGCAACCTCCACCTCCCAGGTTCAAGTGATTCTCCTGCCTCAACCTCCCAAGTAGCTGGAATTACAGGTGCGTTCCACTATGTCTGGCTAATTTTTGTATTTTTAGTAGAGATGGGTTTTCACCATGTTGGTCAAGCTGGTCTCGAACTGCTGACCTCAGGTGATCCACCTGCCTCGGCCTCCCAGAGTGTTGGGATTACAGGCGTGAGCTACGGATTACAGGCGTGAGCTACCACGCCCAGCCTGGTTATTACATTTAATATCAACAATAAGTTAGAAGGCCCAGCGTAGTGGCACACACCTGTAATCCCAGCACTTTGGGAGGCTGAGGTGGGCAGATCCCTTGAGCCCAGGCGTTCGAGACTAGCCTGGGCAACATGGTAAAACCCTGTCTCTACTAAAAATACAAAAATATTAGCTGGGTGTGGTAATGCATGCCTGTAGTCCCAGCTACTTGGGAGGCTGAGGTGGGAGGACTGCTTGAGCCTGGGAGGTAGAGGCTTCAGTGGGCTGAGATTGTGCCACTGTACTCCAGCCTGTGGAATAGAGTGAGACCCTGTCTCAAAAAAACCAAAAAAACCAACAAGTTATAAATGCACACTGCTCAGCCAGAAGTATATGGAAGAGGCATAAGGCATAACCTTGGTGAGCAGGTTTCAGTTTTGTAACCTCCCAGAGTCACTGCTGGGTTCCCTGTCTTGATTGGGCCCTCAGAACTGACTCACTCTAACCTCAGTTTGCCTCAAAATTATTTATCCTTTCTAACTGCTGGTTAAAGAAATTTCAGCCTCTCCTCATTTCTCTTGGGAGGAAGCAACTGAATGAAGTGAATCGAACGTTTCATTTGCACTCACATTTGCTAAGTGAGAAACCCTTATATGTCTTTTTAGACTCTCCATCGCTTAGAATCTATAGCTCTGGTCTTTCCTTTGCCTCAGAAATTGGATAGACCTAAATGTAATGAAGCCATCCAAGGTAACATCCAGTTTACAGAACATGTGTGAAATGGAGAAATGAGCTAAAACCATCAGAAAACAAACTCAGAAAATGGGACATTTTACAGGATACTGGGGCTGAGAAAGCGTTACCTCAAAGACTGGCCCTTTGATACGCCTAGAGAGGCCTTAGACATTGCTTCAGAATCAAGGTTCCTCTAACTTTGTCTTGTTCTCCCATCCCCTCAGTCCCTACAAAGACAATGTAGAACAACAAAAGTGGGGAGAATGGTGGTGTCCTGGAATAGTTTTTGGTTTTTTTTTGTTTTCTTTTTTTTGAGACGGGGCCTTGCTCTGTCACCTGGGCTGGAGTGAGCCTGATCACGGCTCACTGCAGCCTTCACTTTCAGGGCTTAAGTGATTCTCCTGCCTCAGTCTTCTGAGTAGCTGGGACTGCAGATGTGTCTCACCACGCCTGGCTGATTTTTTTTATTTTTCCGTAGAGACAGAGTTTGACTATGTTGCCTAGACTGGTCTCAAACTACTGGGCTCAAGCGATCTATCAGCCTTGGCTTTCCAAAGGGCTGGGCCTACAGGCATGAGCCATTGTGCCCAGCGTAGAGATTTTTAAAACCAACTGCCAGCAAAGGGTGGTGGCTCATACCTGTAATACCAACCCTTTGGGAGGCTGAGGCAGGAGGATCACTTGAGGCTAGGAGTTTGAGACCAGTCTGGGCAAATTGCGAGATCTTGTCTCTGCAAAAAAAATTTTAAAAAATTGGCTGGGTGTGGTGGCATGCACCTGTAGTCCCAGCTACTTGGGAGGCTGAGGTGGGAGGACTTCTTGAGCCTAGAAGTTCAAGGTTGCAGTGAACCATGATCATACCACTGCACTGCATCCTGGGTGACAGAGCAAGACCCTGTCTCTAAAACATAAATAAATAAAAAACCAAATGCCTTGTATGGACCTTGTTTGAATTCTAATTGAAATAAACCAACTGTAAAAAATCATTTTTGAGACAGTCTGGGAAATCTGAATATGGATGATATGCAAAAAATGTGTTAAACTTTTCCAGGTGGGGTAGTGACATAGTACTTATGCTAAAAAAAAGTCCATAATTTTTAGAGATGCATACTGAAGTATGCAAGGGTGAAATGATGTGATGTCTGGGATCTGTCTCTAAAAGCTTCATAAAAGAAAAAGGAGGCCAGGCGTGGTGGCTCACGTCTATAATCCCAGCACTTTGGGAAGCCAAGGCAGGTGGATCATGAGGTCAGGAGATCAAGACCATCCTGGTTAACACGGTGAAACCCCATCTCTACTGAAAATACAAAAAATTAGCCAGGCATGATGGCGGGCACCTGTAGTCCCAGCTACTCGGGAGGCTGAGGAAGAGATTGGTGTGAACCCAGGAGATGGAGCTTGCAGTGAGCCAAGATCGCGCCACCGCACTCCAGCAGCCTGCGCAACACAGCGAGACTCCGTCTCAAAAAAGAAAAAAGAAAAAAAAAAAACGAAAAAGGAGTGGTGGGGCAGGGGACAGAGTTTGGGGAGAGAAGCAAGTGTGACAAAATCTTGGCAATTGCTCCATCTGAGCCATATGAATGAAGAGCCAGTAGACCATTGGCTCTCCAATTGTGATGGCTTGAAAGATTTCATAATCATGTATTCTTAGAAAGTGAGTGTAATATAGCTTGAAACCTTTGCTTCTGTGTCTTCTTTTGGCTCTAGCCCTACACTGCCTTATCTTTAGTCACCATATGACTATTTTCCTCCCACAGAGCCCCACCTCTAATGTGCTTTAAGTCTAAGGCAGCCAAGAAGGAACCATTCAAACAAAAAAAAAGGCAATGGGCAATGTTTCCAAAGCCAGCTAACGCTCACTAGCCAATTCCCTTCCGAACTTTAACAGTGAGACTGTGAAAGAGGAAACAACAGGCTACTTGCCACAGGACTTGGGATTCACAAAGACAAATTTTCTACCTCATGTTTAGAGAAAACTAGATGATTTCTCCTGATTTTATCATATTCATTTGCTCCCCTAAAAAACAAATGAAGAAAATATGAGGGGAATCTGGTGGTGGAAATTCACCTGCCAATGTAAGGCCAGGAAATTCATATTGGTAAGAAGCCCATCTCTCTCGGCCTTATCTCTGTCCCTCCTCCCTAAGAGGCCTCACTGGCATTAGGTTCCCCACACTCGGGATGAGAGTCAAACGAGGCTGAGGAGGCAAGGGACATGGAACACCTGCTCTAGAGTCTAAGTTCTTAGGAAGCAGCCACTCCATCCAACTGTCCTCCCTTCTCTCCCTTCCCATCCTGACCTCTCCCCTGCTTCCCACAGCACAAGGCCTCACAACACACAGGTCACAGCATTGGAGGCTTGTGTGCCACTATAAGCTTAGGACCGTGCTTCATCCTTTCCCATACCTCTACCCAAATTACTATTTTAAATATGGTGTTTTAACCTAAAACCTAAAGTATAAACTGATTTTAACTTATACATCAACTTAATCTGTGTTATGGGTTGAATCGTGTCCCCCCAAAAAATATATTGGCGTTCTAACCCCTAATACCTGCAAATATGACCCTATTTGGAAATAGGGTCTAACAGATGTAATCAAATTAAAATGAAGTCATACTGGATTAGGATGAGTCCTAAGCCAATACCTAGTATCCTTAAGAGAGAAATTTGGACATAGAAACATACACAAGGGAAAAGGTATGTGAAGACAGAGGCAGAGATTGGAGTGATATATTTACAAGCCAAGGAATGCCAGCCACCACTAGAAGGTGCAACAGGCAAAGCATGACTCCCCTTGAGCCTTCAGAGGTGCAATGCTGCTGACACGTTGATTTCAGACTTCTGGCCTCCAGATTGAGAGTTATAAACCATTCAGACTGTGGCAATTTGTTGTGGCTGTCCTATGAAGCTAATACCACATTTCAGAAACATTTATTCATTAACCCTCACCACCACCTGAGGCAGTAAACATTACTAACCCTATTTCCGGCTGGGGGCACTGGCTCACACCTGTAATCCCAGCACTTTGGGAGGCTGAGGTGGGTGGATCACTTGAGGTCAGGAGTTCAAGACCAGCCTGGCCAGCATGGTGAAACCCCGTCTCTACAAAAAATACAAAAAATTAACCCAGCGTGGTGGCGCATGCCTGTAGTTCCAGCTACTCAGAAGGCTGAGGTGAGAGAATTGCTTGAACCCAGGAGCGGAGGTTGCAGTCAGCTGAGATTGCACCATTGCACTCCAGCCTGGGCAACAGAACCACACTTTGTTCCCTGCCCCCTAAAAAACCCCCAAAACAAACTAACCCCATTTCCTAGGCAATTTCAGTGCCATGCCTAAATAGTGGAGAGCGAAGAGCTTTCAACCTGGGCTGCATGGATTAGAGCCCATGTTCTTAACCACAAGACTAAATATCCCCCCAACTTCTGCTTCTTGTATAAAGTAATGGCTGTTTCCTGGGGGTTTTTTTCCCCTGATACAGAGTCTCATTCTGTCATCCAGACTGGAGGGCAGTGGCGTGATCTGCAACCTGTGTCTCCCGGGTTCAAGTGATTCTCCTGCCTCAGCCTCCTGAGTAGCTGGGATTACAGGTGCGCCCCATGATGCCCAGCTACTTTTTGTATTTTTAGTAGAGATGGGGTTTCGCTGTTTTGGCCAGGCTGATGTTGAACTCCTGGCCTCAAGTAATCTGCCTGCCTCAGCCTCCCAAAATGTTGGAATTATAGGCAGGAGTCACCACCATGCCTGGCCATCTTTCCTGAATTTTAAAGAAAAGATTTGAGTACACAATAAGAATAGCTATAAAAGAGATAATAACAAGTGTTGACAAGAATGTGGAGAAACTGGAACTCTCATATACTGTGGCTAAGAATGGAAAATGGTATAGTCACTTTGTCATCCAGGTGACAGGGTCTCACTCTGTCATCCAGGCTGGAGTGCAGTGGCATGATTTCAGCTCACTGCAACCTCTGCCTCCTGAGTTCAAGTGATTCTCGTGCCTCAGCCTCCTAAGTAGCTGGGATTGCAGGCACGTGCCACCACGTCCAGCTAATTTTTGTATTTTTAGTACAGACGAGGTTTCACCATGTTGGCCAGGCTGGTCTTGAACTCCTGACCTCATGTGATCCACCCGCTTTTGCCTCCCAGAGTGCTGGGGTTACAGACTTGAGCCACCACGCGTGGCCTACAGACTGCATTTATATGAAGTATCAAGAAAAGGCAAATTTATGAAGACAGAAAGCCTATGAGTGGCGGCCTGAGGCTGGGAATGAGGATTAATTACAAATGGCATGAGAGATCTGTTTGGGGAATAAAAATGTTCTTAAAGTGATTTATAGTAGTGGTTGCATCATTCAGTAAAGCTGTTTTTTTCTTAAAAGAAATTAGGTTTTAGGGACCTACATAGGTCCAGAACCAGCCACCCTAGAACTATTTTATTTTAGAAAAGGGTTCAGTCCATTTTTACAAGGCACAGGTAAAGAAAAAAGAACTGTGACAACACCTTTTAGGTTTTCCAAACAGCTTTCAATGATAAAATTCAATAAATAAAGTAAAACACTTTAATTAAAGGAAAAAAAAATGCCAGAATTTAGAGGTAAAACAGTACAGGGGCCAAGACCAAAACATTTAATCTGGACATTCAGAGGCTAGAAAGCCACTGTCCCATTCTCCAGAGCCTCTGAGAAGTTGATTGAGAACCAATGAAAGAAGGGTATCTGTTCCTCTCATCCTACCATCACCTCAGTCATTCTGTGACCTGGTGACAGTGACTCGTCTCCTCACATCCAGTCTTCCCTGGCTGGAGCTCCTCAGGCCCGGCAGGCAGCTTACAGCTTCTCTGGCTTTGCGATTCCTTGCCCAAGAACATGCCCAAGGAGACACTGTGGTGTAGGTGTGGGGCTGAAGTGCAGCCACCTGACAGAGCTCTCCTGGGAAAATGCCTTTCCAAGCAGCCTCTCAGGGTATGCAGAGCTCTCTCCTAACACCCCAGTGTGCTCTGTGTATTGGTGACATCTCTTTTGGAGATTCTGAAGGCTCAAATCAGGTCCATATATTTTCTCCTTAAAGGGATTACCGAAGCAAAGGCAACACAATTTCTGCCTGGCTTTCCAGGTAGGACTTCATCTTACTGCAGAATAGTAAGCAGCAGCAGCCCTTGGCAGAAACCAAGCAGGGCAATAGATTTCACCCTTTCCCAGTCCTCTCTTGGTCAGGACTTCAGGCCCATCTTGGCCATCATCTCTTCATACACCGTCCACGCCATTGCTGCCATTAGAGTTCTGCGGAGGGCTCGGGGGATGCCCCCTTGGAAGAAGCCACGTAGTCCATAGTCCTATGGAGAAAATAAATGTCAAAACTCTGGAAGTGAAGTAGCAATACAATTAATTATCCACTTGGTATCAGAGTGAGGGTCTCTGTTACCCCATGTTTAAGACTTAGTTTCTAAACTTCATGCCCAAAGTAAGAATAATGGGTCCAAGAACACAACCAAAGAACTTAAAAGTTTTTTTTTGTTTTTTTTTTTTTTGAGACAGAGTCTTGCTCTGTCGCCCAGGCTGGAGTGCACTGGCGTGATCTCAGCTCACTGCAACCTCTGTCTCCTGGGTTCAAGCGATTCTCCTACCTCAGCCTTCCGAGTAGCTGGGACTATAGGCGCCTACCACCACGCCCGGCTAATTTTTGTATTTTTAGTTGAGATGGGGTTTTCACCCTATTGGCCAGGCTGGTCTCGAACTCCTGACCTTGTAATCTGCCCACCTCAACCTCCCAAAGTGCTGGGATTACAGGCGTGCGCTACTGCACCTGGCCAAAAGCCTTTTTTTTTTTTTTTTTTTTTTTTTTTGTAGTTGCTGGGCTTACCTTTTTAGGCCTGCTCTAGGGGAATTTCTTAGCTGAAAATCTTTATGCAGGGTTGCTGTGTACTTGTGCAGTTTGTATACTGTACAGAAGCACTAAGCCCCAAGTAGAAAATGAAATCCAGGCAAAAACCTGCTTGCCAAGCCCTGGATCCTGGATCCAGGCTGAAGGAAAAGGTGCCTTCTTATCATTTGTCTATCAGGAGGGAGTATCTTTTTGTAATTCACTGTATGCTCTTGGTGGCCCTGTCTTCATATGAATTAAAGACAAAATGCCCCTTCCTCCTCCCTCATAATCTGGGTTGATTTGAAATTTCACATAAAGAAAATATTATTTTAAAACTTTGATTTTAGATATAGAGATAACAACACAAATTCACATTTACCTTTAGCAAGAATATCTGCTTTGTGATAACAACACGTTCTAAAAGAGCCAACGCAGTGGCTTATGGATAGTATACAGCTACTGTAGTTTTTTTTTAAAATTTAAATAGGGTTTCCTTACATTGCCCATGCTGGTTTTGAACTCCTAGGCTCGAGGGATCCTTCTGCTTCAGCCTCCCAAAATGCTGGGATTACCAGCATGAGCCACCGTACCCAGCCTCTACCATACTTTTTATCTTCAATAATACCATTCGTCCGTTTACATTAGAGCAAGATTGTTCAACCCGCAGCCCACAGGTCGCATGTGGCCCAGGACAGCTTGGAATGCAGCCCAACACAAATCCGCAAACTTTCTTAAAACATTATAAGATTTTTTTGGTGACATTTTTTCTTTAGCTCATTAGTTATCATTAGTGTTAGTGTATTTTATGTGTGGCCCAAGACAATTCTTCTTCCAATGTGGCCCGGGGAAGTCAAAGGACTGGACACCTGTATATTAGAGCAAACTGCTAGAATAAAACAATGTGTTTGTGTGGTTTTTTTATCCTCTGACTAAATAGTACTTTACCCTAGGTACCCTAGGTCCTCAATTAGAGTACTAATTTCACCCCGATTTCCTGATTCAGTAAGTCTGGGGTAGAGTTCAGCAATCTGCAATGTTTAACAAATATCACAGGTGTTCCTAATGTAAATGTCTCTGCCCCTCAAAAAAACATCAGTTTTGTGGTTCTCAGCCTTAAAACATACATATTAAAATCACTGGGAAATATTAAAAACAGAAGAAAAAATATGCTGGGGTTTCATGCCCCTAGACATTCTGATATAGTTGGCCTAGATTTTAACCTGGGCATGGGGATTTTTTAAAGCTCTCTAGGCAATTTTAATGTGAGTGAAGGGTAAGAACTACTGCTCTAGAAAGAGATTCTTAACTACCACAAGAACCAGTACTTATTCTGTAGTCTTACTTTGAAAATAAGTGTCACTGCTTGACCAATCCATTGAAACTTCAGTGGGTAAAGCTGCATATGAGTTTTGATAACATCTGCAGGTTGAGTTACCAGTGAGGCCAGAATACCAGCAAATATCCCACAGCTGAAATTTGTAATAGGAATAAGGGTTGCATCCACCTGGTCTGAAATAGAACAAAGGTAACATGTGGTTATGGATCTTACATTAATCAGATAAAGGTCAGTGCAAGTTGCCCATTAATTCTTCCCCAAACCAAGAAAGGTCTGGATTCAAATAAGGCTACAAATTCAAAACTTAAAGGTGCAACTAGTAAATTTATGTAGATGGAATGATAGAGTTAGAAAAGCACCTTTTTCAAACCACCATCACAATAATTGACTCAGGCAAGAATCATTGACTGATTTTAAAACGTGGGAAAAAGGATGTTTATACAGATTCAAAGTTATCTTTCCACAAAGATACTTAGACATTACAATGGGAAAAACAGGTGACTTTTCCGGGAAGATACCTGTCAGTATCTTATCCAAGTGATAAAGTGTTACTATCACTCATAATAGGTCAAATTGATGTTATGACCCTCCTGATATAAGGCAATGAGGATACAATATCACTTATGTGGTCCTCTTGCTAAAAATCTAATCATGAAGAAACTGCAGATAAGCCCACAATGAGGTATGCAACTGGTCTATACTCTTGAAAATAAAACACAGGATTACTACGAAGTACATTATTGGGACAATTAGAGAAATCAGAATATGGACTGTAGGTTAAAGAATCGGGCCACACGCCTGTAATCCCAACACTCTGGGAGGCCGAGGCGGTGGATCACTTGAGCCCAGGAGTTCAAGACCAGCCAGGGCAACATGGTGCAACCCTGTCTCTACTAAAAATACAAAATTAGCCAGGCATGGTGGCATGCACCTGTAATCCCAGCTACTCCAGAGGTTGAGGCACAAGAATCACATTGCTGCACTCCAGCCTGAGTGACAGGGTAAGACTCTGTCTCAAAAAAAAAAAAAAATTATCTAGGTTAAACTTCCTGAGTTTCCTAAGATGGTTATATGACAGGATGTCCTTATTCGTAGGAAATAGACACTGCAGTACTCAAAAGTAAAAGGGCATCATGTTTCCAACTTACCCTCAAAGGGCAGGAAAAAAATATGTACATTGTACTATTCTTGTGGCTTTTTTGCAAGTTTATTTCCAAATACCAGATCGATTTTTTTTTTTTTTTGAGACGGAGTCTCGCTTTGTCACCCAGGATGGGGTGCTGGAGCGCAGTGGTGTGATCTCAGCTCACTGCAACCTCCACCTCCCAGGCTCAAGCGATTCTCATGCCTCAGCCTCCCAAGCAGCTGGCATTACAGGCATGTGCCACCCATGCCCAGCTAATTTTTGTATTTTTAGTAGAGACCGGGTTTCGCCATGTTAGCCAGACTGGTCTTGAACTCCTGACCTCAAGAGATCTGCCCACCTCGGCCTCCCAAAGTGCTGGGATTACAGGCGTGTGGCCCAATTCTTTAACCCACAGTCCGTATTCTGATATTCTGATTCTGAGCGATGGGCCTCAGAAATTTTTAAAGATGGATTGAGAAGTTAAAAATTGCCCATCTGTGCTTCCTTATCGCCTTAATTTTCTGTCACAAAGTAAGGCTGTGACCTGCAGGGTTACACCTTCTGGTGCCTGGGTAGAAGCAGCAAATCTCCCAAGGCACTCCAGCTGTAGCTGGTTACCACGTCATGATGGCGGGCATTCTGGCATTCCTAATTAAAGGACCTTGGTTGCAATTCCTTGCTCAGATCATCCATAGACACTTTATTGCATGCAGGTTCATTCTATGGATGTGTTTCTAGCAACACCTTGTTCTACTTGGGTCGATGTTTACTGTCCACCAATTTTGTCCATGTCTAGCCCAACCTGACCTAACTGGTGGGGTGGGGTGGGCCTCCCCCAGTGACTGAAGTTTGGCACCTTCATCTCCACCTAAATGGAGGGCTCAAAACTATGTTAACTGGGAACACAGCAAGGGAGATGAAAATATTATTTTTCTTCAAACTCCTAACTTACTACTGTTTCCCAGACTTTAACAACAATCACATCAAGTGCTTCTTGAAAAATACAGATTCCTAGGTTGTACCCCAAGGTTTCTCATCTAAGAGGCTTGGATGGGACCCAGCAATCTTAAGATCAAATATGGGAAGTATTGTTGCAGAAACTCTGCAAAGCATGCTTTATTTCCCTCCCACCCACCCTATCTTCACCCCCCAAATTATAGTGGTGTAAATACTGTTTGCCTTAATAGGATGTCAACTCCAAACGGCAGGGATCAAGTTTGTCATATCCACCTTTGCATCCCAGTTCCTGACACAATCATGACATGGCTCAGTTGCTAACACTCTGCTAAGAGAAACACATAGTCCCATATCCCAGAGAAAACGGTGAGGATCTGATAGCTCAAGGATAGCTCTTCCCCACACCTTGCTTTATCCCTACCATGGGGCACTATGTTTTTGGTCTGGTTGTAAAACATCAGGTAGATTCCTGAAAAGGGCGCATCTCGAAGGAGAGTTGCTGTCAGGCCACTGAAGAGGCCCCGGTGCCCCTCGCTGCGATAGATGCTCCTCAGGGCAGCGTAGATACTCTCATAGCCATATTTCCCACTCTGCAAAGAGAGCACAGAACCAGTGACTCGCATGGAGGCGCTCCATTTGAGCACTGAACAAGCAGACTGCAGGTTATGGGGCATTACCGTGGGCTCTAATTCACATATGGCTTGGCTGACCACATCAGAGTCTATGTTAGATTACAAATCAGGAGTTGATATTGGTAGTCACTCCCCAGGAGCCCAGTGGCAAAGCTGAACTATCCTGAGGCCCTAAAGCAGTCCGAACGTACCTCATAGCGTGTCTTGATTACCGTGATAGGTGACATACAGACCCCTGCAACAGAGCGAGAGCCCACCCCCAGCATGATCGACTCCAGGGCGGTTGGGGGATGGCCTCGCAAGAAATACTGCTTCAAAGAGTAGAGAGTGCCAAAGTAGATTCCAACGCCAGGGACACATCTCACAATGGACTGCAGAGAAGGTCAGAAAGAAAAGAAAATCAAAGACCAAACACTTTAAGTATTGTCTTAGCTGGGTTTTCCCAAAAGACCCCAAGATGATTCACATGTAAGTACTCTGTTTAAGGTGTGGAAGGAACACTAATAGGGAAGTGGGGGACATGAGATAGGAGAGAAGGCAGTCAATAAAGGATGTTATAAAACCAGTTACTTCTGTGGGCAACTTAATCCCACTGGGGAACTCTGGGAATCAGTGTAGAACACACCTCAGAGTTATTCCTCCAACTGAGCGGGGAGGGACATGGGATTTTAAACACCAACTCTCATCTTTCAGTGGTTGAGGACTCTGTGGTTTGGAAATACACACTGCTTTGGGTTAGGAAATCAAGATCACTTCTGTGGTCTCCTTGCTAAAAATGTAGAACTAAATCTAATCACAAAGAAACTGCAAAGAAACCCACAGTGAGTTATATAACTGGCCTATACTCTTGAAAACAAAACACAAAATTATTCTGAAGTACATTACTGGGATAATAGAGAAATCAATATATGGATTTCTGATTTGGGTTTGGGCTGGGCACTAATTCCTTGGTGTGGGTCCCTAAGGCCAGAAAAAGCCTTTGAGCAAAGAAATGCTGGTGTGGAGGTACCATTCCACTTTTACTGAAGTGATTAGGGCAAGGGCATTCTGACAGGTGGGACATTAGGTACCTCTGCTGTAGAGACTATGCTGCCCTAATAAATCACATCTAAGCATAATGTGCAGATGCAACATATCCCTGAGCCTTCAAACAGAAGTTAGTGGTAGTATGAGAGATGGGTAGGAAGATCACGTAGGTACTCCCACCACTTCTGACTCTCACATATTCTTAAGAGCTGGTAAGGTGGATGAGAAATGGCTGGTTATCAAGGAGTGGGTGCAAGAGAACCTAGATCCAGATGGCAGCTTACAGCGGACATCCCTTTCCAAAGGCCCAAAAGACTCTCCGTGCGAACCACCTTCAAGAGTACAGCTAACATCCCAACACGTCTAGTCCTGAAAGCAGACAAAATGGAGACAGGAAGGAAAAAATAACTCAGATCACTTCCTCATAAAACAATTTCCCACTCAAAGACTTCCTTTATAGATTCATTTTTAGGACACTTAACAATCTCTACAATGCACCTTGGAGATACTCTATGTGTTCATAGGTTGGCACACACATATTTGCTTATCCATTTATACTGCAAGGAGTGGGATTACCTCCTTTTTTTATGTACATTTTGCATACTTCCCACAGCACAGAGCTCAATATCCGGGCACAAAACAGACAATACAGGCTGGGTGCAGTGGCTCATGCCTATAATCTCAGCACTTTGGAAGGCTGAGGTGGGCAGATCACTCGAGGCCAGAAGTTTGAGACCAGCCTGGCCAACATGGCAAAACCCCATCTCTACCAAAAATATAAAAATTAGCTGGGTATGGTGGTGAGCACCTCAATCCCAGCTACTTGGGAGACTGAAGCAGGAGAATCACTTGAACCTGTGAGGCAGAGGTCGCAGTGAGCCGAGATTGCACCACTGTACTCCAACCTGGGCAACAGAGCGAGACTCTGCCTCAAAAACCAAACAAAAACAAACAAAAAAAACCAGATAATACTGATGTTATTTCCAGAAAATCCCCTGCTACTCTAATGCCAGGCAATCTAGTTATAACACAATAACACAAGCTAACACAATAAAGTGTAAATGTCACTGAGGCAGATTCCAGGAAGCTGCTCAGGAAAGGACTCCATTTAATTAAAAAGAAAAGTCAAATATAAAAACAATTCAGAGAACATATGATTGGGCATGGCCTGTGTTTTTCTCTGAACATCCAACAGAATGGAAGTTGACTTAACACAGTAGAGATATTCCTGTGTCTGAAAAGTTGCTGAAACCAGTTCCCCCAATGAAATGCAGGGCCTACCCATGATCTGAGGGCTGGAGGGTTTGCAGGCGTGTTTTAAGGAGATCCAGAGGTTGGAAAAGGAGGGTAGAACAGGTCCCACTGATGGAGCCACACAGGAAAGCCTTGATCACTGGATGTAACTGCAGGACAAGACAATATTGTGTCAGTAGCTCTGCCTGTGTGAGCCTCACCTTTCTCCGCACCTGATCAGCGAATTCCTTTATAATGGTCTCTTCGAAACTTACCTGGTGGTGCTTCATGTTTTCTTCATACCTCGGAGAAGGGAAAAGTATAGCCAGAAATTTAAAATACTGGAATGTTGTTGAGGACACTGTAGGCTGCAAGAGGTATCTCTGGTCTTAGTATTGCTGATACACATATTGCTCAGTGGGAGCAAAACTATTTCCATGCCACTGACCGCTCTTCCCTATTTCTTCTGACTCAAAAAGTTACTGGTCATCTCCCTATGTTTGCAAAAGCAAAGTCAACTGAATGTAGTACTTTCACTTTGAACTGATGATGTGCAGGCTCCCTTCGCTGTAAGACCTATAGGTATTTATAGGACCAAGCCAAAGCAAATGAAACCTTAAGCTCAACCACTGTGTAAAATTAAGTGCCACTTCCTGTAGAACCTAGTATTTCCTTCATTTAAAACTTTCCCCTTCTCTTAAACCATCCAGCTCACTGGGCCCTACGCAGATCACACAGTCCTACAGACCAGTAGCCTCTCCTGGCTTTGCTGCCTCTCCGTCAACCCATGAATCATCATACACACTGGCTAATCTACAGACACCACCTGGAAGGGTGGAACTCCTTCAAAGACTAAATGCATCTCCCTTAAGCGTGTTCCAGGAGCTGTATGTTCCAGGAGACACAGCTTCCAGCACCGGCGTTACCATTACAGGACAGCATCCTCTTTGTAGACCCCTAGAACCCAGTAGTATCACAAATGACTGTGAAAAAGTACTTAAAATCCAACCAGTGACCTTCTTCCCCTTACTTCCCCTTCCCTAAAATAAACAAATAAATAAATAAATAGCTATCTTCTCCAAAAATGCTTGGCAAATTCATCCCCAAAGACCTCTTCCTTTATTAAGTGGCATCTGCACTATTATTTTTAAATAAATGACACTTTGTGGCTCTAAAACATTAAGATGAATATATATAAAGTTTCCATTATACACATCACATAACTATTTACCTGAAACTGAAATGTTTGTAATCTGCGGTATTTGCTTAACAGAGAAGAGAGTGCATCTCAAATTCCACCAAAGGAGCCAGTTATAACCGGAATTCCTCCTAAGACTGTTGGAGGCAGAGGGTGGGGGGAACTAAGTCAGGTCATTAAAAACTGAAGTTTACAACCACGATCCAATAACTTCTGAAGTACCAAAGGGTAGTCTGATAAGACAACAGGTAAAACCAAGTAAGGTGTGCATATTTCAGCAAGTCTGTATCCACATCAACTCCCTCTCCCCAAGAGGTGTCCTGCTGTTCTGCCAACCAATATTCCTATGAGTTCTGTGTCTCTAGTCTCTCCCAAGACTTTGTGGCATTAATGAGCCCCGTTTCTTCACACACTGGGCCTCTCGTTCCAACTGGCATCTCCTCTTCTGCCAGGCAACAGGCTCCAAAGCGTCCATCTTTCCAGCCTGATGCTACACCAACTCCACTTGCTCTGTGCCAGTCCCTCCGCAGGCCCCCCCTGGTTTGCTATCCAGCTAAATTTCCTCCACTAACACAGCCTCTGAGGGCTCACCAAGCACCTGCTGTACCCCAGGACCCCATTCCTGTCTCTGTCCTTATCTTACTTGGCCTCTCTGGTACATGCCATACGGCTGAGTGCCTCTCCTCGCAGCTTCTGGTTTCTCTCTCCTTCTCCTCCTTGGCCTGCCCTTCACATAGGACTGCTCCTCTTATCTCCTTTCAGAGTAACCTCACCCATACCCAGGCTTCACACACATGCTAGTTACGCCCACATCACCAGCCCAGGTCAGCCTCTCCCCGGACTCTGCTAACGTCTCCTTGTTTTCCCTCAAATGGCCCACAGGCATCTCAAATTCAACATGTCCAAAATGGAAACCTGGTCAACAGTTCTTCACGCACTTGCCTCTTCTCCAGTCCACACTGGGATACTCCAGGAATCCAGGCTGGAAACCTCAGAGACACATAAAACTCATCAGCCTGCTGCTTCATGACCAAGTCCCACTGACCAAGCCCTCAGTCTTCCCAGTCTGGCCTCCACTGATCCATCCTAATGACCTCTGCAGCAGTCTCCAACCTCAACTATGCCAACCCACCCTCAACTCTACTCCCAGAGTAGCACTGGGCAAGGCATCTATAGACACCACCTCAAAATCTCATAGCATCTTATGAGCTAGGTATTTTAAACTCGTTTTACAGATTAAACTGGAGCTCACAGAAATTACAAATGTGTCCTATGTCACAGGGATTGAAGCCACTGGCCAGGACTTAAAGTTCATACTCTTTTCACCATACCACCCAGTCTAAAGTGAAAATCCAGGACACTTAGGCCACTCAGGGCACTCCACTATTCACCACCACTCCCTCCTTGCAATGCTCTCTTCCTTTGGCTTCAGAGATTAATACTGTCCTGGTTTTCCTCCCACTTCTCTGGCCTCTCCCTTAAATGAACCAAACTTCCATGGCTCTTTACCCACTTCCAGGGGTTCCATTTCCACCCCCTCCACACTCTCAACCTCTCACTGGAGCTCAGTCTCACACAGTCACTTACTCAGATGTCCCACGGCCACCTCAGATGACACTTCCAAACCTGAACTTTTCTCCCACACCTCCAACCAGCTCCTCCTCCAAGGTGCCCTGTCCCAGGGAATGCCCTGCCATTTCTCGAGCCACCAGCCAGAAGCCTGAGCACTATCCTTGGACTTGGCCTCTCCACACTTGCTCACTCTACCTCCAAAACAGCTCTCAAATCCACCAATCCATTCCAGCTGAGAACCCTGTTATCTCCTGCCTTGGTGACTGCCACTACCTTTTTACCCATTTGTCATCTATATGACCCCTCTAATCCACTCTTTACCCTGCAGCCAGAGTCATCTTTTGTTTTATTATTTATTTACTTATTTAGAGACAAGGTCTTGCTCTGATGCTTAGGCTGGAGTGTAGTGGCACAATCATGGCTCACTGCCAACCATGACCTCTCAGGCTCAGGTGATCCTCCCACCTCAGCCTCACGAACAGCTGGGACTACGGGTGTGTGTCACCATGCCCAGCTAATTTTTTGTAGAGATGGGGTTTCGCTATGTTGCACAGGCTGGTCTCAAACTCCTGGACTCAAGCAATCTGCCCACCTCTGCCTCCCAAAGTGTTAGCATTACAGGTGTGAGTCACTGTGCCCAGCCTGAGTCAGCTTTTAATACTGCAAATTTGATCACACTGCTTTCAGGAATAAAACCCTTCAATGAAAGATAATGTTTTGTGAAATCTGAAGTTACTAGCTTAAAAACAAGACCAAAAAGAAAAAAAAAAAAGATGGAATAAAAATACAAGTAATGACAAACATGTGAGCTACAGAGTATCCCACAAATTTGTCATTAATACTCATTGAATTATAATTTTAAAAAGCCCAACCAAACCAACACCCTTTAATTGGTTCATATTCCTCTCAGGATAAAGTCCAAACTGCTGGTTGCAAGGCCTTTCATGTATCACAGGGCTCCTGCTTACTGTTTTGTTTTGGCCTATGCTCTCACCTTCCCACTAACACACTCTGCAGCCATACTGGAGGACTCCACCTTACTTTCACCTCTGAAAACTGACATGTAGTTATGCCCTAGCTCCCCTCTATCTCCCCAACTCCCCCACGTCCAAGTTCAGTGCCTCTCCTTCCGGCTTCTGCAGCAGCACCTGTCCCCAGCTCCCTTATGACTGCGTGTCCAAGACAGAATGGTCACAACTCCTGCCTGTCTTGTTCATGGTGATATCTCAAGAACTGACCTTGGAGCCTGGTGCACAGTAGGTGTTCAGCAGTGACAACAGAATGAATCTTGCCACCTAACAGGAAACCTAAAGCTCTCCCTTTGAGCGCAATCCCACAGGATAGGGCTCAGTGGGTCCTGCATGGCTCATCCCAGGATAGGTTAATCTCCTCCACCTCTCTCCAGGCCTCTTGCTCCAGCAAGGCCATAGGAATGACCTGCAGTTACAGTTTCTGGGCAGTTCTCCTAGGGGCTGCTGCCCCAGTGCTCACACAGGTGTTGTGTGGAATTTGTTTTAAAACAAATTTGCTGCTGTCCTTCACCTTCCCACCCTTGATTGCAGGAAATATCTTCCTAACATCTTTTATTTCACAGCACAGTGATTAGACATGTTACTGGCTCAAGTTATTGAGCCAAAAGTTATTGGCTCAATAACTTTTTTAGCTTTGTATTTTTCCAAGTCCATTAGCACAGAGCAGATGTTATTTATACTAGCAGTACAGATCAACCTCTAATAGGCAAAAACAAGACAACAACAACAACAAAAACCATTCCAACAGGTAATATTGAATGGTCTTAAGATTTTTGTCAATGGTGAATGGCACACATCCTTTGCGAGTGAACTTAATTTTCAAAAAGTAGCTCAAGGCCAGGCGCGGTGGCTCACACTTGTAATCCCAGCACTTTGAGAGACCGAGGCGGGAGGATCACTCGAGGTCAGCAGTTCAAGACCAGCCTGGCCAACATCACCCCCTCTACTAAAAATACAAAAATTAGCGAGGCGTGGTGGCTCACGCCTCTAATCCCAGCAACTTGGGAGACTGAGACAGGAGAAATGCTTGAACCCGGGAGTCAGAGGTTGCAGTTGAGCCGAGATGGCGCCACTGCACTCCAGCCTGGGCGACAGGGCAGGACTCCGTCTCAAAAAAACAAAAAAACAAAAAAACAAAAAAACAACACCTCAAGGATATTCAAGGCAAATAAAAAAGTAGTTTCTTTTTAAGGGGAGAAAGAAGAGGGCAAAAACAATAATACGCACACAAAGGACATAAGTAGCACATAAGAGTGCGAACTGGATCCACAAGCAATTCCTACTGCCCTGATAAAAGTATCCTAAGTCCAATTCACATCTGCAGGCGAGGGCTGGAGAGCCCTGAAAAAGATAAGCAGGTTTTCAAAGACGTCAACGTTAAGTCGCCACTGCCGCCGTCTCCGCCTTTAAGGATTAAAAAAAAAAAAAAAAAAAAAAAAGTCGCATTTTGCCCCTACCTCGGGCGCAAGACCTCAGAGCGAGAGCCGCGGCTTCTGCCTGGGCCCCAGGCCTTCAGCGTCTAAGGCCGGGCTGCACCCCGACTCCGCCCACCAGGCAACCACTCCGCCAGCCCCGCCTCCGCCTCCGCCTCCACCAATAGCGGCCCGGCGGCCCGGCCACGGCGACCAATCGAACGCCGGAGGAAGCGTGGGGTCGCCAGGTGACCATGCGCCGTCCCAACGGGCCGGAAAGTTGGCACTCAGAGGTGCCGCCACGCCTGGCCGGCAGGTGTTAGCGCCGCGGCCTGCGGGAGCACAGCCATACCGTATGGGCAGCTTGCGGCGGCATCAACGGCTTCTCAGCTTCAGCGCCATTACCAGGCCTTGTGACGGGCCCAAATCTGCCCGGGTGCCCTCCCACCTCCGCCACTCCTGGCAGCCTACTCGCACCTTGTGGGGGCCGCGCGGGCACACTCCCCGGCACGCGCCCCGCCTAGGCCTCGGCAATTCCTCCCTCTACCGGGACATCGGCCCCGCAGCGCCTGGCTGGCCCGCAGCGCCTGGCCTCTCCTCACTCCCCGCCCCCTTCTCAATCCCATTAGTCAAAACTCCTCTCCTGCCCCATCCTCAACCCTGAGCGCACCTTGGGGCGCGGAAAAGGGTCGCCGAGGCTTAGTAACGCCCCGAATTCTCCTGCCAGAGCTCGCGGTTCGGACCCCTGCCCTTCCCCGCAGTGCCCTCACCATAAGCGTTTCCACTGTGTCTCCGACATCTTGGGGTTGCAGCAGCGACGGACGTGAGTTCTGAATCATTGGAGATGGGGCCTGCGAGTGCTCTGGGCCCAGGGTGCCGTCGACGGGAGCTTGGGCCCAGCCCTGGAGGCCTTGAAGAAGGCGAGGGGATGGCGCTAGCCTGGCGAAGCCCTTTAAGCCGAGGGCTCTCTTAGGTCTGCGCCTGTAAGCACGCAGCCGCCGGGGTTCGGAGCTTGCTAGCCAGGAGCTGCGGGCGCGGAACCGTCCCGCCGCGGGAATTACGCGCCGCTCTTCACCGGCGCCGCACACTCCGCGGCTCTGCTCTCCTGCCCATCCTGCCCCGCCGCAGGCTTCAGCCCCGGAGGAGATGAGGTTCTGTGTATCCGGGGATGGAGGAAGAGCCGCAGGAACTCTGTGGAACAGGAGATTCCGCTTCCGGGTGGGACGCTCGTCACGTGAGGGTGTTCTGAGCGCCACCTGGTGAAAATGCCCGGAACTGCAGGGTCCGCGCTTCCCTGAACCCAGAGTTTAATGGGGCGTCTGCGGGGAACTTTGCTTTTGCGTGGAACATCTGAATGTATTTACAATCCAGACTTGGTCCACCCAGTAAGGCAGCCACTAGCCAACGGGGGCTATTGATTTATTAATTGATGCATGAATTTTAATTATTTTAGGTTAAAAACCGAAGTAGTGTGGAATGCTTTCGCCTTAAACAGGCTTTTGTTTTCTTTTCAGGACCATATTTCCCTTTAAATGCTGAAAATGTAGTGTAGGAATTGATATGTACTGTATGCATAAACCACACGCTGGATATCTAAGACTGGTGAGGTAAAATCTCAATTTTTATATGTTGAAATTATATTTTGGATATATCGGGTTATATGAAATATATTATTGAAATTTACTTAAGGCAGGGGGCAGTGGCCCAGGCCTGTAATCTCAGCACTTTGTGAGGCCTAGTCTGGAGGATTGCTGGAGGGAGCCAAGGAGTTCGAGACCAGCATGGGCAACAAAGCAAGACCGCCGTCTGTAAAACAAATAATAATAACTTCACGTGTTCTTTTTAAATGTGGCTAGTAAAACATTTAAACTTTAACACGTGGCTCCCATTACATTTCCGTAGGACAGCGCTGGTCTAGTTGGTTAAAATTCTGGTTTATTGCTCACCTGGAATCTGTCAATGGCTTTTTTGGTCTCCCAACTTTCCGTTATGCCTGTCTGGCTGATCCATGGAAAAGCATTACTGCTGGGATCCTGACACTCCTGTTGAAAATGCAGGCATACACTTTCAGTGGCCCTGGTAATCTGCAGAATAAAGTCCAAGCTTTTCATGGCAACCTTCGCTACTTTCCACATTCATTCATTACCCAAGAACTAGATCAGAAAAGAAACTGATGACTTAGGGAGCAAGATAATATTTTTTGAGGCTTCATTCCTGTGCTGCTGAGGTACATAGAACAGGCAAGAAAGGGGTCCCAGAGGAGATTATTCCCAGAGAGGATTAAGGAAAGTATAAACATTAAAAAAAAAAAAAGAAAGAAAGAAAGAAATCACAGGCCGGGCACGGTGGCTCATGCCCGTAATCCCAGCACTTTGGGAGCCCGAGGCGAGGAGGGCGGATCATGAGGTCAGGAGAGTGAGACCATCCTGGCTAACATGGTGAAACCCTGTCTCTACTAAAAATACAAAAAATTAGCCGGATGTGGTGGCGGGCGCCTGTAGTCCCAGCTACTGAGGAGGCTGAGGCAGGAGAATGGCGTGAACCTGGGAGGTGGAGCTTTCAGTGAGCCGAGGTCCACCACTGCACTCCAGCCTGGACGACAGAGCGAG